GTTTCTCAATCATGCCTTGCCAACTCATCCCACCATTCCGTGAAAAGTTGCCCGTAAGTGTAGTAAAGTTCATGAGGTGCAAAAGGAAGCGGTCATGTGGACTACTACACATTTAGAAGGATGGTAGGGAGGCGGTGCATGGGCCCATGCACACACACCACGGGCCAGAAGGAGGGGGTGTGGGCCCATGTGGCTCCTCTAGGGTCCTACTTTGGCAGTTTTGTTGTCTCCAACATTATTCATTAATGTAATTTTCTTTTATTTTCCAGAGTCCGGAAAATCTTGAAATTGGAGACACAAAAACTTTCCTCCTTCCTGTCAATATGTTAATAGGTTATTCCAAATAGATATAAAACAATGAAAGTTTTTGATAAGGCAATGGCATAAACTTCAAAATACATAGATATATAGTCCCATGACATCCCATTTTGTAGCAGTGGTAAAGCGATATGAATATGTTTATTGAAGACAAGTCATTTGATATGCAAATATTGATTTGCGAAAATCACATGCTGAACATTTACATTTGTATCCAAAATAAAATAATAAGGGAACACTTTACAGTAGGAATGAATTAAAAGAATGATTTACACAAAGACAACAAGTTCACAACTCATAACATCAATCTCATTCGTCAATAGGGTTTTCTGTTCACCCTCCTACAGTTGTTCCTAATCTCCCCGGCCTTTCCGGTCAACGGGCTTATGTTCCCCATTTTGACCATCGAGGCCGCGAAATTCTTGAAGAAGTGCTTCTGGCTTCCGGAGAACCTGCGAACGATCCGTGCGGTGGTTGCGGCGGCAACGGGATCAGACAACATTACCTGGTCCGAAGGGAGAGGGGCGCGGCCACGCAAGAGGTTGCCGTAATACTTGTTGTCAAAGACGTCAGGGGTGACCGTGTCGAGATTCACGAGCGTCTCCTCATCCTGCCCGGCGCTGCAGTTCCGCTGCGTGAACTGGCATTGCGCCCGCCCAAAGGTATGTGCTCCTTGGAGGGCGACAAGGTCAGTGTCGTCGAGCCCCATGTTTTTGAACTTCTCTTGGAGCATCTCGAGAGAGTCGAAAGGGCTCGGGAGATTGTTGGCGCTCTCAATGTTGGTGGTCGTGCCATCTCGGCGGCCCAACGGCACACTCCAGCGTGGCCCTCCAGCTAGCTCGACGGAGATCTCGGAGGCGAGGGCAAGGATGTCGGCGCAGGACACGATGCCGGGGCATGCATTCTCCAGCGCACGCTTGATGTCGTCAACCACCTTGAACCCGCGTGCTGACCTATCGTTGGCAGGGACCTCCTTCTCGGTCATGATCGCCGGGAGGTCGTTGTCCAACAAAAGCGAGCCATCACAGCCCTGAACAAAGCAATCGTGGAAGTGAAGGCGGATGAGGCTGGCTGGGATGCGCGCGTCGGCGACGCGGGCTTTCTGGATGACGCGCCGGACGATGTCACCCGCACCGGGGCACGAGTCGTCGTAGAAGGACGAGCTTAACCCGGCACCGGCATCGGCACCTGCATGACCGTGGGCTCCAAGGCTGGGCGCTAGTACCAGCGCTGCCGTGAGCAAGAGGCTGCAGCGAGCAGCTAACGGGAAGCAAGAGTAAGCAGCCATGTGCACTACTGCACGTTCAGAAGGAAAAGGCTAGAATTAATTTGCAAGCTAGCTGCTAGAAGGGAATGAAGGAATATCACAGCGATGGATGTGAGGGAAACCAGAACGGTATGGAAGCTATATATAGTCTCGCCATTTTGCTTGATGTTGAACTTCTTGGTAGGATTTCGTGGAAGCGTGTTTGACATGTTCCACATGCCGTTGTCAACCTGAGTATTAACGCTGCCGTACGTTGCCTATGGCCTACCGCAGCTTTCCTTTGCTGCACGAGGCTGCTCATATTATTTTACTACTGTATATGATTAGCGCCAACAAATTGGAAGAGGTCTTCTGATCTAAGAGAAGAGGTCCTTCTCACGAAATATACAAAATATTGTGTTGTACTCCCTCCATAATATAAGACCTTATTATATCTGATTTGCGTCGGGCAGAGTTTAATTTTCCTTATTCAACATGTGATATGTCAACGACTTTGTATGTAGTTGCCACTTGCCAGGAATGGGCCGATAGACTGGATCAGCCACACCGTGTAATCCTTACATTTCTTCTATCCTTCTCCCATTTCTTTATTTTTTTATACAATGAGAGACCTTTCGCTTCTATTTGTATACACGACACGTCTTCAACAAGCAACGCTTTTGGTTTAGAATACTACTAGCCATTCGGCGGAAAGTCTTTTAAGATTTTGTAGAAGGTGGGAAAAGGAAGCAAGTGGGCATTTTTTGACTAATTATTTCTGTAGAAAGTCTCCTTTGATTTTGAGTGGTGTGTGTTAAATATTAAAAAAAGTTTGAAGAGTAAATGATGTAAAAAATTGTGTTCTATATCAATTCCACACTTACTGTTCGAAACCTGATACTGTGTCAGAGAGTGTTCGGTTTGTACACGAAGTGCATTAGGTTTTCTCGTAATACTCTCAGATTTTTACCACATTCTATCGGGGTCATATCATGACACCATGCCAAGTTTCATCTTTTTTCTAAAATCAATTACATCTTATTCTGAACCAAGGAGTGTTTTTTCTTTTAAATGGTCAGAAAATCAATTAATGCTTTAAGAATAGCAAATCTGCCCAGAATAGTCCCAAATTTGATCATGAGACTTTTCACTATGTATAACAAAAATAGGAAAAGTTTGAATGCAAAATGAAGTAAAAAATTGAGTTCTCTATGAAGTCCAAGGTTTCCGTTCGTAACCCTGATACTTCGTCTCAAAGTGTTCAGCATAATTTTTTTCCGTAAGGGCATCTCCAACACCAATCCTCAAAACGTCCGCACACGTTCGGACCGTGCTGTCCGGATGTGTTCTGCCATCCAACACGGGCCTGTAATTGTTTGTCGAGCGGTCCGACCGTGTTCTCTCCTGCAAGTGCTTCCCACCCAGAACGGTCAGCACCGCTGCAGTGTCAGTGCCGCATTCGTGCCCGGCCAAAGCAGACACAACCTCTCACTAGCGTTGGCATCGAGGCGGCACGCCAGCCGAGACAGTGCCATCTGCGCCTCTTCTTGATGCAGGCAACTGTTCCGCGTTCAAACGACATGACGACCATCTGCCATCTACCGCCCACATTAATGACACGCGGTTGCCGAGGCGGCTACTCCGACACCACCCGTCTGTCCCTATGTCGCCCACCATTGCTATGCAAACTAATGCCTCAGTCATAGCCGTTGTCATCTGCCTCCAATCCCTTTCTCCTCTCTGCACCACACTCCCACCATTGCTTCGTCGCGCTCCAATGCTCTCTTGGACGGGCTGACGGCGAAGCAGAAGGAGCCGCCGGCTGGCTGGTCGGCAGACAGCCGAAGGACGATCCCAATGTAGAACACGGGCAGTGACGAGCCGGTGCCACGCTCCTCGTCCACGCCACCATCATCGAGGCATGTGCCCATTACATGGACATGGTGTGGGACGAGCGGGAGGAGCAGTTCCGAGAGGCGCAAGCCGATGACGCCTACGACCCCCAGCTCCTCCAAGAGCACCAGCAATCGGAGGAGCAGCTCTCCGCCGCTAGGGCCATCGTGCCGAACACAAACCTAGTGGAGCAGGCAGCGCTGCTTGAGTCCTACCACTCCACCCATGAGATCTGCCTCGCCCACTGGCAGTACTTCTTGCATCAATAGGAACTGGAGACCATCTACAAGGAGTTCGACGAGGCGGCAGACGAGGTGTGGGGAAAGACCGACGAAGAGGCGGAGCATATCGCCGGCTCTGCCAATGTCGTGCCCCGCCGCACCGACCACGAAGCAGACACGTCCGCGGGCACCACCGTCCATGAGGAAGAGTAGATCATGGTAGGTCGCCGCTGCTTGGGTCCCAAGAAGCCCACCACTCCTCTCCTCCCATTAAAGCCAAGATTTGTGGGCTCAACATTGTCGGCCGATTAGCCGCTTGGTGGCGATGTGGAGGCGGACAACATCACTTCCCGTGGCTCCGAAGGTGGAGGCTGCGGAGGTGTAGCTTGAGAGCCCGAGGCAGAACTAGAAGCAAAGCTTCAGTTTTGAGGGCTCATGGCCGGACACGGGGAACGGGCGCCAGTGATCATAGATTACATAAATTAGTTATACCTTCAGAGCTGGACGAGCACTGCTTTTAGTTGAAGTGTGTCCGAAATGTAATGAAATCCGATCGTGTTTGAACGAATTTTGGCTGGTTAGTCGAATTTTTGTCCTAATGTATGCGGGGAGCGTTGGATGGCCGCCCCCACATCCGTGTCTGTGGACTGGTCCACCCTACCCGCGGGTGGATGCGGAAGAAAATTTACGGGTTGTCGTTGGAGATGCCCTAAGGCTCTCACATTTTTACTACACCCTATAAGGGTCATATGATTACATCATAACAAGTTTCATCCTTTTTTGAGATCGTTTGTATATTATTTTGAACCAAAGAGTGTTTTTCCATTTCAATGGTCATAAAATCTATGAATATTTTAAAAATAGTTAATCAAACCAGAATTGTCCCCAATTTGATCAAGAGACTTTTAACAATGCATATAAAACATAGAAAAAGTTTAAACATGAAATGATGTAAATACATTGAGTTCTTTGTGGCAACTCTGATACTTCGTCTGATAGTGTTCACTTTGTACACAAAGTGTATTAAGTTTTTCCCTCTTAGTTTTTTATCACACTCTATAGAGATCATATAATGAAACCATGTCGAGTTTCATTCTTTCAGAGCTCATTTGCATCTCTTTTTAAATAGAAGAGCATTTCGCTCATTTTAGTGGCTACAAATTATTTTAATGCTTTAAAATAACAAACAAGACCAATATAGTCCCAAATTTGGGCATGACAGGTAGTAAGAAGTTACTTTAAACCCCACAAATAAATGGGAACCAAAATTTATCCCTAAACTAAAAAAAATCCTAAGATTACTACAAATGTAGGAAATATTTGCTCTCGTGGGCACCCTAGATTGCCCACCACTGTTAATATGCATGACTAGCAGGCCCTCGATGCCGCCTGCCACTAATAATTTTGGGTGTGCATAAGCCTTCGCGGTTCTTGACCATTTCCCATCAAATGCCTAGCCGCCGGACCGCGTCTTTGCCTCCAAAGCCCGTGCCCATCACCGAATGTGTTGTCGGTACGTAAGCCACCCCGCCCTTTCCCCTCGCTAATCGACCTTTATCTCTCTAGATGCACGAACCCCGCCGCCGTCAGGGGTAGCGTGTCCAGGCCCATAGTGGTTGCTCACCGCACCGCCCGACCTACCCATGCTAACGAAGAAGAAGTTGTCTGCCACCGCGGTCGTTGGGTCCTTGCTCGCCACCCCATTCATGGGCACTGCACGTGTTCGTTTATCACATTAGATGTTCACACATTTTACTTTTGGAACCCAGAAGGCCGATATTTAATTTCTTCACCTTTAGATGTGAGGTCGTCGATGCATAAGTCTTGGCAAGGGTTAGGGTCGAAAGCTCGCAGGGACATTTCTGTTACAAATCGAGTTTACGGTTCACAGAAATGTTTCTGTTACATACAAATCAGGTTTGTGTCTGCTCATGTATTGGTTCGTTTAGCAAAGTACATATATTATTACCTTAATTGACCCCTTTTGATTAAATAGCATATGTATTCAAAATTCTTCCATTTTTAAAAATTTACAGGGATTCAAGAATGAGTGCCGACGTTTTGGTGAAACGTTGATTAATGTCAGTTTCGTCAATTTTCTTGCACTCAATCTGTTCAATTTTCCGCAAAGCTCATGCTGATTTTTCCCATTGATTTTTAACCCTTTTAAGCCGTCAGCCTCTTCGCTTTGGTGATGAGCTGAGATGTTCTCAAATGTTAATCTGATAAACTAGAATGTCAAATATTTACCATAGGGGTGCACTTGCATAGTCATGTTTGACCTTTTCTTGCTTGGTGTTTGTGATAATGATTGTATAGAGGCAAAAACTTGGGTGCAGAATGGACTTTTCGCAAAAACTTAGAAATTATGTC